GATACAAAGAAAGAGAATCTTAATGAAGTTGTTTCTGCTTTAGCAGCCCAACAGGTTTGTTTTGAAACTGATGGTAAAACTAAAAAAAGCAAGGATCCTTACTACGGAGCAGACTGGGGTATAGGATGGTGGACAGCGGTAGTGATTATGTTGATCATTGGCATAGTAACTCCAGTTTTTTATCTCCTGTATTACGAAGTTCTGGTGAAAGCAGATGTCAGTCACCATTCTACAATGGAATCTTCCCATTTGTTTGTCACAGCAGTATCGCATCAGAAACAAATAGAAAATGGAATAAATCCAGCGAATGTTATCAATGTTGATAATCAAGGAGACTTTCAGCATTAACAACAGAGTACCACATGTAACTTATTGGTAGACACATAACATAGTGTTAGGCAAAGGGGAAACCACAGAATGCGAAATGTACGTGGAACGCAGAGGAAACGAGTACTGATGTATGACTTGCCCTCATGGGTAGTGTTCTACCACAGGGATATTTCTGGGGATCATGTAATCTCTGAATATGCCTAAGACAGGCAGTTTGCAAGACTGGGATACAAATTAAGCTATAAAATCATCTCTGAAGCTTTGCACTTTTTTCTATTTTGATAGACATATGTTTTTTAATTAATGATGAGGTGAAAAAATGTAGTTTGAACTAACACACAAGGAGTCTCACTGTGCGTTTTACAGCCCAGAAATGGGCATATGGGGATATCTTAACTTTTAAACATATGAAAATATTTACAGAATTCATAGTACTCTTCACTTTTTAATATCAGGTTTACAGTTGTCAATTAAAATGCTGTTCTCATATTTTTCTCTTTCTTATAGAGTAAGATTTTTTTTTTAGAACCCAATCATTCCATAATTAGTTGCCACTATGAAGTTCCTTTTTTACAAGTGACTTCTACAGAGGCAGTAGCAAATACTTAAGCCAGAATCTTTAATTCTTGTGCCTGTGGTCAACCCCTTCTACAGTACTTTTCAATGTAGGCAGTAGGATAATTTGTTTTCTCTGTGTGTGACACAGTGCTTCAACACAGTCCAGTTGAGAGAGTCGTCCTGAAACTTCACATTCTTCTGTGATATGCTGCTGAAAACTGACTGGACTGCATTCTCATCTGGTCAGCTGTGTGTAGGAATGAAAGAAGTGCAGAAGTGTGGCACCTTGCTCTAACATGAATTTTTTTTTCCCCCTTCAGCCAATCTCAATTCAGGACCATATGCTAATGGTCTTGTGCCCATGAACCTCAAACACTTCTTCCTGAAATCTCCTAGAAAACTTCAAATGAGATTTAATGCCTGATAGCAAATTGCAGCAAAATAGACAAGTTGCAGCTTCAGACGTTTTCTTTACATAGTAGTGTATTTCATCTGTTCTTGAATGTTTCACATGGAGTTTCATGATCAACCTTGGTTTTCCCCTCTTTTTCTCCCCTCCCCCACCAAACCAACAACAATCAAAACAAAACAAAAAACAACAACTCTGGACTCTTCATACAGAAAGAAGGAGTTACTTGTGTACTCAGAATACTTTTAAATAAAAACTGAGATGGTGCCTATAATTTTTTTTGTTGTGTTTACCTTGTGGAGCAAAACTCCATTGCCCTGCTCAAAATACTATTCATTACTAAAACCCAAGATTAACTAACTTGATTATAACTTATAAAGAGAGAAGTGGAAAAATAATCAGTATCCTTTACACAACTATTGTAAGCTTTCCATTGTCTTGACTAAGTATATAGGTATATATATATATATATATATATATATATATAGTATAAAAAAATCTGGTAAAGTAAATGTTTCCTTACTATTGAGTTATTTCAAAGTGCTTTATCAGGTTCTGAGAGTAAGGCCCCATCTATTCTTGGCACAGATAGTCTTCACTGGCATGCCAAGTGTATGAACATGAATTGGCTAACTTGTATTATATTGAAATTGAAGGCAGGCCAAAGCTTGAGCGAAAATGGTATACAGTTAGGTATGTGAACCTGTGGCTCTTGAACCCTTTGTTCAGAGGGGCAGCTGTGGAGATAGTGAGCCTACTCATAGTCTCTGCACTAGAAAAGAGATTACAAACAGGCATGAACTTAGTGGTTCACATAACCCTTGTTTTCAAAGATCTTTTACAGTAATAGTTCATTTCACGAAGACAATATGCCAATAACACAAATATAAATACTGAGGTACCAGTTCTAGGTAATGCTATATGAAAAACCGCATTGCAAAATACTTCTTGGTGGCTAAAGTGATACAGCTTCTAGGGTTAAAACTTTAAAAGGATTTACTCTAGTCCAGACAAGAGAGCTTTGGCACATGAAGACAGATGTTTACTGTAAGGTATGAAACTTGGTATATAATGTGTCAGCTTTTTTGCTGCAAGCTTATTTACTAGTTTGCTTCTTCCCCCATCATTCTGTTCCTGAAATCTCAACAGTTCTAATACTTTATCCTTCCATTTCTTACAGATTCATCAAAGCACGTTAAGTTAGCTATTGTGATGATGCAACATAAGCCTCATTTACTGCACATACCTGAACTGATGGGTATTAAATTGCCATTGGTGTAGAAGTGAAATTAACTTTGGCTGTGGTCTGACTAGGTCAGGAAGGTCTCTGTCTGTTGATGTAAGGATACAGAGGTCTGTGGTTAACTGATGCTTTTTGTTATATGGTGGCACAGATGAAGAGATCTTTGTCCCAGGCTTTGGGCCTTTACAGTGTTGGAATACCTGTGGCTTACTGTCCCCTTGATTTACCTTAGGATAAGTAGTCCTTGGAAAAACATAAAGGGACAGCTCTTTAACTGGACTGTATTACATTCTAATCAAGAGCCTGGAATGTTTTTACAAATGTATGACATAGCTTATTTCATGCAGCACTTTTTATCAGAAGATGCAGTAGGTCTTTTTCCAAGATTGTAGGACTCCTGGTCCTGGTAAACTACAAAGATCAGCTGACATGGCTTTCTCCAGGATGCAGGGATCTTTACTTTTTTTTTCCAAAGTTCAACACAACTGGAAATGCATCATCACATCAGCTCTGGATAAACAGGGTAACTGCTCTGTAAGAAACTTAAATCTGACTTAAGTTAAAATCTGTAAAGTTAAGTCTTCCAGAAACTGACTTCTTAAAAATAAAAACAACAACAAGACACAAAATAACTGAGTTGTAAATCACCTTTTGGATCAATTGCAACATATTGATCAGGAAGTTGGTTTTAACTTAAGTGCGTATTGCACTGTTGGATCATATAAAATTGAAATGTTTTAAATCTGCTATTCTTTGGAATCTATTGTCACAAATAGTCTTTGTATAACTTTTATAAAGCCTGAAAATACAACTTTGTAAAACACTTCTGGGTGAGGATGCAAGTCTTATTTTAAATACTTCTACTCTTCTGCTTTTAGAAGAACATAAGTAATACATGTAAAATAAAGGTTTTATTTTAGACAGCGGTGAAAGTGGTGCATATAATATATTCTTAGCTGTACATACTGTGCATGTTTTATTACAGGAGGCCCCTACTTGTATTTGTTTTGGCCAGTTTTTATGTATGATCTAAAATAAAAATCCTTGGCTAGCAAGCATTTTGTTGGCAGTAGCTGCATATAGCATTTACATCTAGCATACCGTAACTGCAGCCTTAATGGTTTATCCTGTTCATGCCTTGTAAACTTGGAACTTTTCCGCATAAGTTTCTGAGAACTTGTAAATTCCCAGAAGTAGATATGAAAAATTAAGGTAGAGATCAGTGAAATTCTTAGATGGTGATATGACTACACACGGAAAGCAATCTTCTTCTTCTGTGCTGTAAATACAGGATTTGAATAGATGCCTGTCAAAAATCTGAAGTCTGCCAACAACCAAAGAACAGTTTCATTGTCATTATGGTCTTGCAATAAATTCTACGCGATCAGAAAATCAGCTTCTAAAAAGAGTTGCACCTCTTGAAGAGCACAATCTCACTGCTCTTTAAAAGTGCCTAAGCACAGAGCTGTGTCCTTGCAGAACTTGGCATGTACCTAAGCAATGGCCTTATTTGCCGTTGTTAAACCAGTCGTAGAGGGCCCAGCCTAAGACTTTGCAGTTCCCTCTGGAGGACAGTGACTACAGTTTATCTTTCAAAGGTCTCAAAAAGACCTGATTTTTGCTAGAGTAGTATTTCTCAACAGGGCAGCAGGGAGGCAGTTGTCTCATCCACTAGCAGTATGATGGGTGGAGGAAGTCATTGGTCCTCAAGAACTACTGTCTGCTATCAGGATACAGGAAGGAGTCTCACTGTTCACCCTGCATGGGGCAAACAGCCAGCAGTTACAGTTATGGCAAGTGAATTTAGTTTTCAGCATGCTTATTTCATTCACATCTTCTATCTCTGTTTTGTATATCACCCACAAGAAGCAGGCACACCTAACTGCTGACATGTGTGATGTTAAAAAAAACTGAAAGAATGTATTTCCTATGCAATGCAGTAGAATCTTTATTAAACATTTGTAGTCAATAAACACTTCAAAATAAAAGTGGTATACCTCTGAGGTGTGACCTGCATAGCATTTAAGTTTAATTTCCTTTACATATGATACGTATTTTATCAGAACATTTAAAAGCTACACCTTAAGGACTAAATTCTTACTGCATATAGAAGTGCACAGAATAATGCAGAACTGTTTCCGAGTCAAGTGAGGTGAAGTACTACTTGACAGAATGCCAGACATGCAAGGAAAAGTACTGTAGTTTCCTTTGCTGATAAAAAGAATTGGTTTTGTTTAAAACTTTTCATTAGGGCCAGTAACAGCACTAGTTAACAGGAACATGTTTTAAGAAAGTAAAAAAAAAAAAAATCAAAAAAAACCCAAAACCAAAAACCAAAAAATTACAACAATCAATAGTAATGTAATTACACTGACCAATAATATTTTGTACCATCAAAAGATGACACAAAGAATGCACTGTTACTGTATTCAAACTCAGTAATAAATTTTCAAAACTTCAGCTTTTGTTCTTAAATAAAATTGATGTTTCCAAACATTCTGGTTTTGCTATTCTTAGCATTCTCCCCTTGCTTTTCTAATTAAAACCTCATGCATTAAAATACTGCACCACATTCTTTTCTTACATTTTTGGGTTTTATTTTCTATTGATTTGCTGTCCGTTTCTTGTTTGTTCTGTAGGAAGTAAACAAATGCATTAACAATTACATAGATACATGTCATCTGCCTTCTCACTTAACAGCTCTGTGAGGTAAGAAAGACTGTAACAGGCAGAGAAACTGAGGCAAAGGACTGAAATTTTCACTAACTGGTGAAACCGGGATTTTGTAATTTCCTAACTTCTGCCATATATTCTTTTTAAATCAAACTGTCCTTAATTATGACTTAAGGTGATTCATAAAGGTAATGTAATACATTTTACCAAAATACTAAAGGCAATGTATTCTTCTAACTACAGTAATGGCTTTTCAAATTACTGTCATATTGTTTGTCTATATTTCTAAGGTTTTTTCAAGTCAGTTTATATTAAAGTGCTTAGTCATCAATTATTTCTAGTCACCTGAACTCAGAAGTTACATAAGCTTCTTCAGAGAAGTCAGCTGCCAAATGCAAGCAGTTTATGTCCATAAAGGTCATATCTCTTTTACTGCAGTCATCAAGAATTTCATGACTGGTTTCAAGATTTCACTGCTGAGGCACAGAACTGACTAGTGCAAATGCTTAGGCACAATTTCAAGTAAAATGCATACATTCTTTTTCTGTGCAGAGGTGACACAATGGCATATAGCTTACTCCATCAGGAGGCATTCCAGAAGACCTTAAAAAGGCGCACATCTGCAAAACACTTGGCAAAAGAACAAAACAAAGGATCTCATATCCTCTTTTACAGCATAATACAATTAAACTCCAATGTGGTTTTGGAGAGTGTGCTTAAAACCAATGGAGCTAAAGCATTAGGTCTGTTGATATTCAGCCTACCTCCAGAATTCTACTTCAAGTAGTGTAAGGCTTGAGCAGTGTAGCACCTAGCAGCCACAGTTAGTATGTTGCTTCATCCATATTGTCATCACTGCCAGCACCAAAGTCATCTCCATCGTCAAAATAGGAGGAAATGTAGTCATTTTCCTAAACCAATTGAAGAAAAAAATCTATCATTTTATCTGTGGAGAAGACAATTTATAAAAGAAACATCCTTTAAACTGCACTTGAGTGCCCACCTTTTAAAACAGTAGTAGATTTTATTTTCTTGGCAAAGAAAAAGGAAAATACTGCAATGAAGTTCTGATACCTATGAAAGAAGAGGCATCACTGTTTTAGTGATGAAAAAGAGTAATTGCATGTATTGATTGTGGCAGGACACATTCCTGTGTGCAAGATCTTTTCTCTGAGCTCTTTGTGAATAATAAGTCTAAAACACCCATTTAAATGAACTACAACAAAATAGAGTGCAACAAAGATCATTAATGTAATAATGCCTCCCACAACAACTCTCCCTTGGCATCTGAGAAGCTAGGGACATTTCTTTGGCTTCCAGCCAATACAGTACTCAATGTATAAAGAGGAAAACTAACATTATACCTCTTCATGTTCCTCTTCATCATATTCATCTGATTCTTCTGCTTCTTCATCATCTTCACCTTCTTTGTCTTTTGTTTTGTCTTTCTCATCTTCAGATTTTTCTTCTTCATCATCCTTCTTTTCCAACTCCTGTCATAAGGCAATCTGCTTTACAAGGTAATCCCATATTACAGCGAAAGCAATTCATAATACCAAAATATTAAGCTGCAGTTAACAGCAAGATAGCATAACAATGCTGTGAAAATGCTGACATTTAAACCAATATGATGTGAAGCACAGGAACTTCATACAGACTTGGTCAAGCATCAGCCATCGCACTTAAAAGGCTAAAAAAGCATGGCTTGTGTTACAGACTGAGATGATGATTTCCCTTTACCATCCACTTCGAGCACAGCTGACAGAAGAAGGCCATGTCATTAATTGATAAAGCAATACAATATACTCTATGTAATAATATAACTGCACCAAACAACTGATGGATCACTACAAGAAAAAATACAAAGGTGTTCCACCTTTAAGCTTCCCATTCCCACATGGTGAGTAATTGCCTGCAAAAGACAGGTCACTTCCTAAGTTTCTCTTTCTGTGTTTCTTCCCTCTCAACTTACTAAATTGTTTAAGTTCTCACATCAGTAGAATGGTGAAACAGCAATAGATTTAAAAGCTCTGGCACCAGTTTCTCCTTCAGTAAGCTCCAACAGTAGCTCTGCTGTTCACATTAGTCTGTATTGCTACCCAGTGAAGAGCAACTGGTTGTTGTGTTCAGGTACAAACAGGAGCTATCCAGGCTCTATCCTTACTCTAACTCTTGTGCCACCACAGTGCAGAATAGCTGCCTGCCAGAGTAACATGCCAAGGCCAGAATAAAGGCTGTTCTGGTTATTTCATTTGTACCAAAAAACATACTAGGTTTCATTTTCCTTCAGCAATCTCTAGTGTACAATTTAGAAAGAGTATGCACATCTTACCTCAATTTTTTTTATCACATCCAGATTACTTTTAGGCTCAAAGTTTTTTGCCTTTTCTGATTTTGCACCTGGTGAAATAAAATACATCACTATTATTTTTTTAATACGGAAAGCACAAATTCTTTTGTTTTACTTGGTTTTACGTGCTTACATGTTGAGTATGCCAGGGAAATCCTACACTGGCTGTATAAAAATTACTTTAGACTTTGAGCTACATCATTCATAGAAGTGTAAGTGCCTGGTTTATGTAAGACATGCCTAGAAGGCCAATCTGAAATTCAGTTTGAACAAGTAGTTGACCAAAGGTTTGGCTAAAGTATGATGTCCAGCTTCACAAAAGACTTGTCAACTACCTGCTCACAATATGTTATGAAACTAGAACAAAATCTCACTTGTTATTTTTCATCATCTTGAAAAGATAGAAATTCATTGTTACTAATTTATACAACACAGTAATGACAGCTGGGTGCTTCAGATAAGTAGATTTAAAAAAAGGAACACAACAGTTCATTAGCTGTAACACAGAAGGCATGGTTACTGTAGCTACATGGCTCTTGGGCCATAGCTGGCTCTCATCCAATGAGTCCACGGAATGTATTTGCACCTAGCCCCCTGATTCATGAACATAATCTTTACCAGGTTACTCCCTGATTAATTATATGGTGGAGCAAAGGTCAAAAATAGCATTCCATACACCCAGGTAAGAGATACCTGAATTGCAGCACCTGTATCAAAGTTGCCCAAATACCAGCCTAATACTCAACGAAGCAGAACTCTGAGAACTGCTGAGCAAACAACTGTATTTTGTCAAAAGCATTTGCCATAGGTAACACTGAATTTATTTCAGTAACACTGAATTTATTTCAGTGTTTTGCCTAGGAAACAATTATGTGACTAAAGCACTGCAAAGAGCTGAGGGGAGTCAATCTGCTCTGTAAAATATGAACAACATCAAAGCAAACCCATCCAGAATGAAGTAGGCTTTTAAGGAAAACAAGTGTCAAGTGCAATTCAGAATTATCATCTCTGCACAAACTCCTGCAGGCTTTTAGATTAAATGCAGATAGAACAGACATGTAAGATTTGTCTTTAAATGCCAAGCATCTTTAGCCCTTATCATGAAATTAGAGATACTGACCAATCTTTAGTAGAACTTCAAGTGAAATAGTTCTATACATCATATACCTTAGAGGGGCAAGGGAATACAATCTAATCTGATTTCCAAATACCCACTCTCGAAGTACTTGGGCTAAAATGCATGTACCTGATTGCTATATACATATGCATATGGCTGGCCTACAATGTCATCTGAACCCAGTCAGCACCTTTTTTTTTTTCTTTTTTTTCTTTTTCCTTTTGTTTATTTTTTTGTTTTGTTTTTGGCAGGCAGTGCTGGTATCTAGAATACTGTGTTCCATAGCCCAGGGTCAGTGTGGGAGAGATATGGAATTTTATCCAAAGTTTTGTCACTAAGAAGGCAGGTGGTCAGATCTTTGGTTAAAACATTCAGGGAAACTAGAAAGAGGAAGGGAGAGATGTGTAAAGATAAAGCTGTACATGCAACTGTGTAGGGATCCCCAGACCACTCCTGCATGTTACAATGGGGAATGGTAGGAAGTCTGGCTGAATTTCTGTGCAAATTCTCTTGACTCACTCACCTTTGTTCCACAAGGGTTAAAGTGTCACCTAAGTCAGCTGTCCTCAAAATACAAGCAAGATATGTACCAGGAGGGCTGATGTGTCACTGACCAGCTACATACAAATGTCCTGAGTCATATAACTTTTGTATGCCCTCTGTATCATCAGAATTCCCCAAAAAAATCTAAACCACATAGTTTTTGCTTTCGAGGGAGGCTGTTTTTTAATCCAATCAAATTCTGATGACCACCTGATCTCTTTGCCATTATAGCCATGTAGGAAAATATACTTTTAAGAGCCAATAGAGAAACTGGCACTAAAGAAAGAGGAAAGATCCCACAGTGAGCAGTGATTTTCTCTTAATCATAATATTTTTTAAACAAGGATTAATAGTTATTTATTATTTCATTGATCTTGGGGAGCTACCTACTGTGCATGGGCTTACAAAAGCCAGTGGTTTCCTCTTGTCGGGGGGAAAAAAGTAGGTATATTCTGGTCCCACCTTTAGAGATTTTGCAAATAAGTATTTGATTTTCAGTTGAATCTTACAGTTTACCTTTAGTACCATGCTTCTCAATGACATTATTAAAAGGAACAAAGCTTCCAGTTGAGCCAGTCTTTGTCACTACTGCACATTTCCATTTCTTTTTCTATTTTACCCTTGAACTGAAAAATGCCACATGAGGGACTTGGACAAAAAGAATAAGAAAATATAAAATTATATATAAATAGATGGCTAGATACAGGAGGCCAAGTGTTATTTCACATCATCAGAACAATAGCTTTCTATAGGGAACTTAAAAAAAAATCATGCACACTAGAAAATGCTTTGAAACAAATGATGCTGTGTAACAAAATCTTTTTTCCTAAAAGAACAGCCAATACCAGCTCCAACTGCTGTTGAAGGATCTGGTTCACAATTCTGCAGAAGAAAGCTGAAAACCGACAAAAAAGGTAAAACCAGGGAAAACAGAAAACAACTGACATTAAACCACATATAAAAGGCTTAAAAAAAAAAGCAAAACTCAGCCAAATAATAAATAATTGAGAAACCAAAATATAAAGGAAATCTGAACAGCCAGTTACTTATTGAATAGAGGGGTGAGTGTTGATTAAGATACGAGCTTTCAAAATAAAAAGGCTTGTGTTTTTGTTTTTTTTTTTAATTTTTCACTGTTACATGTATAGTGAAATACCTCCATATAGGAGTCAGGAAAGGAAGATAAATCTGTACAAATAAGTTAAAACATCCTATAAAAACAAAGCAAAAACCACAAAAGGCAGGCAGACTAGTAAATTATTTAGAAAAAAAATCTGCCAAAAGACCTGATTATTTGGACTAATTAACATTTCTACAATATTTTTTCCTCTAACCAGCTCCAGTATGTCTTCTGTCTCTCAATTAGTGAGTATTATTTGCTTCTTAAAAATATATAATGTACCTTTTTTGGTTGTCTTCTTTGGTTTCATCTCTCTTGGGAGTCTTCTCCAATCTGTACAGAAAATAGTTCTAATATAGAAAAATGATGATTTACTGCAGTAATCCTCTCCCTTTAACTCACCAAGGAAAGAAACAGGCCCCTGTTGTTCTTGATCCTATTTACATGGATGCCGAAATGTCTTAGCATACAACAGTTTTAGGGAATTCTAGCTGTAATTTAAATCGAGGAACTGGATTCAAGACTGTCATTTCCCCCACATAATGACAACTGGCCTCTATCCCAAAGAGACAAGTTCAGCCATTCCAGTGGCCCATGGGCCCTTCAATTTAAATTATGTAATTAAGTTTGCAGTAGTGAGCTATACAGGTATGACTATCCATGACAGACATCAGGTTGGGTTACTTTTAGTAACATCAGTGTTTGCTCCCAGTTCAAAACTGGTATCTGTGTGGTGAGTCAGGAAAAAGAAAAACTGAAGTCAGAGCTGAAGCTTGCATTTTTGCTGCAAATCAGTTGTTACAACTCAGTAAATAAATAAGATCAGATTTTTCCCCCTTTTTTTTTCTGACAAAACAATACTTGCCTTGATCTGAAAACATGCAAAGGACAATAACTCTCAACAAGAAACACATGACTTGGTAAGGATTTTCATACTTTTTTATTGCTTGAAAAATCATGAATCAAACACTTAAAAGAACAGAACATTTCACAGATCAACAGAAAATTAGCCTCAGATGCTACCTGGAATCCATGTTTTCTGCTCCTTTTCACTGTCCTGGTACTTTTGACTGTACCTCTCAATTGCTATAGAGAAGGATACAAAGAGTTATTGACTTCAACTGATTTAACAGGCAATCCAGACATAGTCCTTGATATTTTCCTGTAACTAAACATACAGTGTATTTTTTTATTACCACATTGAACACTTTCTTGTTGTCAAGAACATAAAAATAAAATAAAAACAAACAAAAAAAGCACTCCAAAATTATTATAATTTATGCTTTTATCCTTGAAAAGCATGAAATTATAAAATGAAGATTTAATAAGGGAAACTAAGTTGAAACATCAAATGTAACACTAACTGTTATACTCCTCAAGATTTTCACAATCAAACCTTTGCTACAAAACCAGTCAGTGACATTTAATACCCTTATGTTAATCATCCAGAATTCCCAGTTCTCAAAAGGCTGTGTCTCAGTCTGATCATCACCTTTCAAGACTTTCAGTACTTCTGCACTGGAAAAGCTTTGCATCCCATCCTAAATAGCAGCAACACACTTTAATCCATTACAGTACAATCCAGTACAAGAACTAAACCGAGAAATGCATCATAAGTGGTCATACAATGTAAGCACATCTACTTATATTGAAAAAACCTCTTACTTAAAATCTGAAATGACAAAAGCAATATCAAAACTTTAGTATTTTTAAATCAGTCCCCTTTTTACTTACCGAATTACCATGCAAAACTGCAAAATCCACTTCATGCAAAATTAGTGAGTCCGATTGCACTAATAACCCGTTATTCAAACATTTCTGTGGGTATTGTACAAAAAATAGTAACTGAGACAGCCTTTGACCTTTGGAGTTAAACACTTCTAACATAGAATCATAGAATGATTTGGGTTGGAAGAGGATCTTGAAGATCACCTAGGGCCATGGGCAGGGGCACCTTCAACTATACCAGAGCCCTAACCAACCTGGCCTTGAACACTTCCAGGGATGGGGCATCCACCAACTTCCCTGGGCAACCTCTTTCAGTGCCTCACCATCCTCACAGTAAAAAATCTTTTCCTTATATCTATGAAACCTGCTCTGCTTCAATTGGAAGCCATTTCCCCTTGTCCTGTCACTACATGCTATCATAAATAGTCTTGCCCCATCTTTCCTGTAAGTTCCTTCAGATACTGGAAGGCTACAGTAAAGTCATCCTGAAGCCTTCTCTTTTCCAGGCCGAACTATCCCAATTCTCTCAGCCTTTCCTCATAGGAGAACTGCTCCATCCCTCTGATCATCTTGGTGTTCTCCCCTAGACTTGCTCCAACGGGTCCATATCCTTCCTGTGCTGGGACCCCAGAGCTGGATGCAGCACTGCAGGTGGGGTTTCACCAGAGCAGAGCAGAGGGACAGAATCACCTCCCTTGACCTGCTGCCCACACTGCTTTGGATGCAGCCCAGGACATGTTTGGCTTTCTGGGCTGTGAGTGCACATTGATGGCTCATTTCCAGCCTCTCACCCACCAGCACCCCCAAATCCTTCCTGGCAGGGCTGCTCTTGATCCATTCATCCCCCAGCCTGTGTTGACACTGGGGGTTGCCCCAACCGACGTGCAGCAGCTTGCACTTTGTCTATTAAACCTCATGAGATTCCCATGGGCCCACTTCTTGAGCCTGTCTAGGTTCCTCAGGATGGCATCCTGTTCTTCAGATGTCTGCTCAGCCGGGAGAAAGAAAATATCATAAATGAAGCTTAATTTTAAACTTAGTTAAGATGAGGGCAAGCAGAAAACCTTCTTATAACTGTTCAAGAAAGAGCCTGCATTTAAAATAACAGGGGCATTCACAGATGCTGTAGGAAACTGTCAGCAAAGAGAGGAAAATAAGCCAGTAGTTTCGATTTCAGCTCAAGGCTCTTTAGTGAATACTACCATCAGTACAAAAAATCATTGACTGACTCACACCTCTCACAACTAATGAATTCATTCAAAGCCACTGCCAAGGTGGCAGTCACCCAGTCATAGCAGATATACTTAAAGGAAAAATATGAATGATTAATAGCTAATTTAATGAGGAAAATAAAGAACTTTCTATAGAATATGCCTACTATTCACTCAACATGAGCAGTGAAATGAATGATGAAAATCTATTCTACATGGCACACTAACACATCAAATTTGACAGGTAGCATTATATGGAGCTTTTGTTTACTACCTGAATAAGGAGACAGATAGCTACATACCAACTAATTAAAATGTTTCCCTTCTTGCACTTTCAAGGACCATTTGGCTCAGAGATGTTGTGCTGAGGGTTTAAAACAATCCAGTCACTCTTGTAGCAAAGCCAATTTATGAAGTTCTTGCCTACAGTCCCCCTCCTGCCTCCTCTTAGTTCTACCAGATGTTTTAAATGAAATAAAGTGGAGCAAACAGCTGTAAACCAGGTAACAGAAAAGATCAGTTAAAAACAGTCTATTCTGGGGGATAAATGCAATTTTCTTAAAACTAGGCCACTTCTGCCAGAGTGCAGTCCCAGAAACAACTGCACACTATGACTGATATGAAAACAAGCTTTTTAAACTCAGACCACTCCTGATGTAATTATACCGCATCCCTCAGATGCAGCATTTTTGTACGACTTATGATTTAATAAAAAGTTACCTCAACTTACCAACTTACCCTTGGTAAGGGTAAGATGATGAGATGATGAGAACATTCAGAGCATTATTTCAGTCTATCAAGTGGTCTACCCGCTTTCTCTGCAATTTCCAATTTTGATATTAAAAACCAGTATTCCAAGCTGGTAGTTCTACTAAGGAACAAAGTAAGAGAGAGAGATCTCTCCATTCTGAAAGAAGGTTGCAGAAACAAAGATGATTTTGAGGTGATCAGTAAGAACAATCACATAAGGCAAAGTTGGAAAAGAGAGAGAACATTTTCTCATAAAGCAGCAGGCTCCTTGGAAATAACCCTGACTGGCTCTCAGGCATACCAGTTTCCTGGTTTGTGCCTCTAATGGAAATAGCAAACTTCAAGCCTGAAGAAGATCAAAAGCACAGCAAGCCTCTAGTGAAATGAGAATCCAAACTGATTGAAATTTGTTTACTCAGAAGATGAAAGAGAAGATGTGTGTTATAGGTTAGAAATCCAGGAAGGGGGAATTTTTCTTCCCCCTGCCCCCACTGTAGGAAAGACGGAGTTTGAATGGAAAGAGAGGTGATTAGCGTTACAAAGGGTCTAGCCAGCTGAGCTGCATTCCTAACAAATGGCCCATTGGAGGCTGGGGGAAGGTAGGGAGGAGTTTTGGGGGGTTGCTTGGACTCCTTAGAAGGGAGAAGTCAGTTTTTGGCTGAGCTCTTGCTCTGCGACGGAGATGGGGGTCTTGCATGCGTGCTTTTGGAGAGGAGGCCTGGAGGCTGGGCTTTCTGGCTTCCCACCCTGGTCAGCCCTGACTGCTGGCCTCGACTTGCAGGCAGGCTGTCTTTGTCTCCATCCCGGACCTGCTGCGTTTTCATCGGAGAGTTTTTGTGCTCACTGGGAGAAGAAAGGAGGAGCCTTGGGACACCGTCATCTGAGGACAACAGTGAGTTCCATGGGGGTGGACTGTTTTCCTTTCCCCTTTCTTCCACTGAGGGAAGGGTCCCCATTCTCTTTTCGGCTCCTCCCACGACCCCAGACCCCCCCAGGCCCCTCCCCTCATGGTGACCGCAGAGCCCGACAGCGCCCCCTGCAGGCCAACACCGAGCACTGCAGGCTCTGCCCCTCCAGTGACCCAACAGCGCCCCCTGCCGGCCGGGACTGGAACTGCGCTGAAGGACAGAGAAGTGTTCATTCAGACCTTTTTGTTTGTTTGTTTGTTTTCTAGGACTACTGTCTCAGGTTTTTGTGTTCTGTTACTGTTCTTGCCAACATACATATATCTTTTAATAAAGGGTTGTTATTTCTTCTGTTTTTTCCACACTTCCTCGATTAAAGCCCCTTAATTTTGAATTTACAATTGCTGAGAGAGAGGAGTTCGGTTTGTCTCATAACTCATCCTCTTTAGCAAACATTCCAGTCTCTTCAAACTGAGACAATGTGATAATAGAGTCATTTAGAGTTCTTATCTCATCATAAAGGGATCTAGAAACAAGGATCAGATCTGTTCTTGCCTCATAACCAGTTTTATGTGGCTGCACTGTCAGGGTCCACCCTGGTCTGCACTTGTGCTGCATTAGAGCTGCGTCCCAGTGGTTGCTGGCCTCCAGCTGCATGTCAGAGGAAATACTCTGCCTTTGGTGAACCACAACGTCAGTCTGGCAGTGTATTCACTGCTCACACTGTAGGGCACTGCTCCATTTTATACTGGGTTTTAGTACCAGAACAAGTGGACAATGAATAAGGTGTGTTATTCAGTGTAACAGTCAAGGTCTAATAAAAAAAACTGCACAGTCTCAAAACCATCTAGAATTCACCACTACACCATGAACAGAAATTAACAAAATTCAGAGGGGATTACACTAGGCACCTCTATGTCAATATTTAATTACATGCAAGCAAAAGAAATTCTGAGATCAAGCAGAATAAGATCAAGATCTGGCTTCTAATCCAGCTCTGCTTCTGGTGCAAACCTCAGTAAATCACTTATCTTCACCTCAGCCTTCACATTTCCAGTGACTTGTCAGTAACATGTACTAATATTTCCTGAATGGACTTAGGGGGGAAAAAAAGCTGAGTACCTTTTAGAATGTTCATCCATTAAATATAACATTGATTATTTTGAGTATATCTTTACACAATGAAAGCTGAATTTCAAGACTAGTATTTACTATGGATTTCTTTGCTCTAATGCAAAATTTTGTGGCATTTTAACAGGTAGAAATGCCTATTGCACTCGTATAGGCTAGCATATAATTGAAAAGACTGCATGTAGTTGGTCTAAATGTTTCTTACTGTATAACAAATGGAGTAGATGTTTCATACCTTTCTTTTTCAACAGTAGTTGCTTTCCAGTTACAGCACTTGTGGATGTCACCCATGATTTCAATAAGTGTAAAAGCAGAAAAATTCCCTATTATTTTAAGTTGCTATTTTTTCTTCCTCAGTATGAAACTCATCTTCAACACATGCATTTCCCTATATCGGCCTTCCCAGAATAGTAACTAAAGATATAATAAAAAGCTCACAAACCTTGATGTTCTTCTTCTACTGTCAAAAAGTACGGCATTCTTTTCATAGTTCCTCTAAGATCTTGTTTTAAGGCCAACATGTAGTCTTCATCTTCTCCTGTTTTCAGAGGCACTGGCTTATTGTCTGTACTCTGTACAAATCATGTTTATTATATATAAGGTCTTGATATCCACCAAATACACAGGTACACTAATAAAAGCTATAATAAACACAGCTAATAAAAGAAGAATGCAACTATGTATTACACTACTTCACAAGTATACTATATTGCATTCTGACATGCACAGTAACTATGTTTACATCTAAATTTTTACCTTATATAACTTGACTGTATCTTTCTGCAAAAATGTATCAAGAAATCAATGACTGTGAAATAGTCATTCATAGTCATCCTGACTAGCCAAAAGCAGTTTTTCTCACTAACCTTAGTCAGAAACCATTTCTTCTCTCTTCATTCATAGTGCTGGCCTTAACCACTTCTAAACCAGTGTTTTAACTACATTAAGTATGATTTCTGAATACCATGGACACCTTTTCCATGACTATTGTCATGGGAATACGTAGTGTTGTCATACAACCAGGTAGTACACAGGCCCTCACACAATTCAGTTTCTGTCAGCTGAATTTAAATGAATTGTCAAGGCTTGGATTTTTTTGGGTTTGTATTTTCTTGGGTAGGGAGTTTTTTGGTTGTTGGTTAGTTGGCTTTTTTGTTTGGTTGGTTTGGTTTTTGGGGTTTTTTTGTGTGTGTGTTTTGGGTTTTTTTTGTGATGTTTGGTTTGGTTTCGTTTTTGGTTTTTGTTTTAACTATGAATCTTGACATTGGGAAAGATAAATATACAAAAATAGTTTAAAAATATCAGGAATCCTAAAGACAGAATTACACAACGGGTGTTGTTTCTCTCACATGACAAATGGTGCACAATAAATACCTGAGTGTTAGGTTGCAGAGCAGAAAGTCCTATCACAAGTCCCAGAGCTGGGCCACGAAAGGAGTTTACTGCTTACAGCTATATTTATTAGCAACAGTTCACTACTTCAAATTATTTCAGTGTCAGTCAACAGCTGTAACACACTTTTGGTCATTGACCCATCATTGAATTTTTTATTGACCCTAGTTATACAACTGAGTTAACTCTGATTTTCTTAAATGGCACTAGATTTGCCCTGAGAAGTTTAACTTGCTTCTGAAACTTTCTTCACAGAAGGAAGATGTGGGAGGCAATTGAGCTGTGGACAGCTTGGGCCCTTGCAGATGTGAAGTTGTGAAGGAATGTAAACAACAAAGATGAGAAAGTGGACAGGGAGGATGAAGCTGTGGGGCAGCTGTGATAGCCAGAGTGACCCTGAGTTGCAGAAACTATAGAGCAGCCAATCTTAAGATGGGTATGTAGTAAGGGTACCAATGGTGGTGAAATACACTGGCTAGGGGAGACTATAAATTGGCCGTGTTTGTATGAAATAAAGGCTTTTCTGTGTGACATCCCAGTGTGGTGTTCATCCTGACAATGACAGGAAGAAAGCATTTTTAACTTATCCATGGTATACATTACATATACTGGTGCTAATAATTCTCCTACAAGGCTAACTGTAACTCAGAACCTGCAGATTATACAGAATTCAGATGGCACAGAACTGCGCTATCAAGCAGACTGCAACATTCACATTAGAAACAGTTACAGATGATTTAGTAATATGAAATCACAGCTTAATTGTAATGCTGGACTAAGAGGATAAACAGCATCTGGTTCCATAAGTCAAAGCCTTGTGTAAGAAAACTATTCAGAGAAATCTCAGCGTAGCACCAATTTTATGTAAAACTTCCAAGTTCTGTATCATAGCACATGAGATTGCAAAAAATTTCATGCACTTCGATCAAATCCTGACATAAATGATAAATTCTCTTATATAAAACTGCAACATTGTAAGACTACTTTTCTGCCTCAAAATAGTCCAAGCTTCCCTGCACAGCAAAACACAGTCAGAAAATGCTCTTTCTTCCCCTTTAATTTTCAAATACATCCCAAATGCCAAGACTCAATTAAGCTTCCTTAATTATACAATTAAATTAAATTAATTTCAGATGAATTTAGGTATCCAGTGTTACTACTACTGTAATGTCCAGAAAACCAAATCATGATGAGGACTTCAACACGCTAACAGCTCGCAAGCAATCTAGTTAAATATATAACGTAATAACATAAATAAATAATAACAACAGTTAGCAAAGGCACAGGAATTAGCAATAAGAAAAATAGTGACTTCTATTAAATATTTCAAAACTGCTTGGGGTTGTTCATATATGTCCTAGTTAGGACAGCTGAGATCAGTTCATCATGGTGGGTGTAACCCAAAACTGTATTCTATAGCCTTCCATGTCATTTCCCAGAAACTAGACTATTGTTGTCAATAGACTATTCGCACCCTCTGCCCATAGAGCCTGACTCCTCAGGCTATAAACTAGGTGTTAAGAGGCCTGTGAGATAGGAGGATGTTTCTGTCCTCACACCCTTTGTGAAACTCCCTGCCCTGAAGGGAGCACCAAGCATTCCTGCCTGAACTGGAGGATATATAATCTTGGAGTTTTGGAACAGTTTTCAGCCCACTCGTGGGATCCAGAGGACGGCTGCATCTCATTGCTCTCAACCAGACTTAGACCACCACTGGACTGCGATCACCAGTTCTGGCCAGACTGCAGCAGCTCTCCCACCAGCTGGTTCTTCCCCTCTCCCTTTACTTTGGACTCAAGCGGGGCCCAAGGAACACCACTTTGTTCAGGCCCCAGGGCACTGGGTTATACATTTGGGTTTTGTGGGTTGAGACCAATTGTTTGTTTGTATGATTGTACTTAATGTATTATTTTAATAAATTGTTATTCGGACTTATAATCTCTCCTCTGAGTTGAGTTCATTCCCCCTGCTGGTTAACTCTTAAACCAGCACAATATATTTCATTATGTTACTTAAACACAAGTGTGAACACACTTTACCTGAACACAGAATGTGCTCCACAGTACTGGCTGTACTTACTGGAAATGGTGGTGGAGGCTTACAGATGACATCAGGTAGAGCTGCACCGTTACCAAATCCAATAGCCTCAATGTTGAAGGTAAACGAAGCACGTCCTCTTCCTCTACCTGACCCAGCCATTTGGAGGTACTGAAAATATTACAGATTTTTAAACATACATATTTTCATTATGTGTTTCAAATTCATGTATATATTACCTAGAAAATTAATGTCTAACAAAGATCACAATCATTTTAAGATGAAAGATCATTTTTAAACAGGAAGCCATTTTCATAGGTTCTTCAACAGACCATAAATTTGGTACATGCCTAAAATCAGCTCCATTCCCTTATTTCTGCCAGCCACCTCTGCATGCCTGAAATTACCTCCCAGCCTAAGAGTTTTAAACTTTCTTCTTCTAAACCTTAGTTTCACTGTATTGAGTTTAATTAGAACCAGAAACAAAAGGGGGAATAAAGGTTTAACGACCCTGAACTTTATGTTAATACATTCTTTAATTTCTGATCTTTTTTTCCAAAAACTAGTTTGTGTTTATCATTCATGACTTCTTCATCCTTAGATTGTTTTTTGTCCTTTATCTTAGTAACTAGTTTTGGGTCCTGATGAAGTGACACAGGCAAAGAGGCTTAAGGCAATCAAAAGGCATCAAAAGACTGCAGCAGGACTGCAAGCTAACTGCTGATAAAAGGAGCTTGTTTCTAACTAAAATATTTAACAAAGGGTATAAAAGAAAAAGAGCCTGCAAAACATTTACAGTCATATCTCTCCACCTTCACTGGTTACACTGGTTACACCAACCTTCATCTCATTAATTGCATGACCCATGGGTTGGCAAGTAAAGCAATATATGAGATTGGGGTAAGATGTCAAGAAGCGTGATCCAAGAGAAGCTTGGATGGAGCAGTGTGCTACTGCTCACAGCCCAAGGCCACACAGAGATTAGTTCAAGGCCCCAGCCCAGAAATACCACAAGCTATTTATCACTGACTGTAAGGTCACTGTACTGCACCTTGCTTAGTATGAACAGGTCTGTTCCATACCTACTGCTGTACCTGCATCATCATAACTAGTTCTCCCTAAACAAAAGCAGTGGCCTTTCTATTATATGCCAGTGAGAAACAGGTTGATGCCAGTTTTTTCCTACTTGTGATTTTCAAGAGAAATAAGCTCTGTTTGGATGAAACAAAATCACATTATGTACTTCCATGGCACTCTGCAGCACAGAATACTGTCTACAACTAAGCAGAGAGCCCTAAATAAATCATTTTTAGGAAAGAAAACAAAGCAAAAGCTAGGGCTAAGCATGTAATTAACTGGAATGTAAAAAAAAAAAGGAAAATAAAAAAGAAGCAAACTCCTTTGAAAATAGGATGAAAAGCAAGATGTGAGCCTTGCAGAATGAAGAAAGATAAAAGATACAGTCAAGCCCCAAATGTGAGCAATTATATTATCTAAGTGTGTGTAGTGGGTTTCTGTGTCTGGGTTTTAGTAGCGGGGGGGGCCTACAAGGGTGGCTTCTGTTAGAAGCTGCTAGAAGCTTCCCCTGACTTGTGGAGCCAATGCCAGCCAGTTCCAGGACAAACTTCCTGCCACTGGCCAAGGCCAAAACAATTAGGAGTAATAGTAACACCTCTGTGATAACATATTTAAGAACAGAAGGTTGTTGTGCAGAAAGAATTCCAGCCAGGGAAGAGTGGAGTGAAAACACGGGAACAACCAAGTAGACACCAAGGTCAGTGCAGAAGGAGGGGTAGGAGGTGCTCCAGGTGCCAGAGCTGAGGCCCCTGCAGCCCCTGGAGGAGCCCATGCTGGAGCAGGGGGATGCATGAAGAAGGCTGTGACTCTGTGGGAGGCCCAAGATGGAGCAGGGTCCTGCCCGATACCTGCAGCCTGTGGAGAGGGAAGCCCACGCTGGAGCAGGTTTTTCCCAAGTAGGACTTGTGGCCCCTGTGGGGGACCCACGTCAGTACAGCTCATTTGTGAAGGACTGCACCCCATGGAGGAGTGACCCACAGGACAGCAGTTTGGGAAGAACTGCTGCCTGAGGGATGGACTCACGCTGGAGAGATCCATCAAGGATTGCCTCCCATGGGAGGGACCCCACAGAAGCAAGGGAAGGACTCCTCTCTCTGAGCGGTGGCAGAAACAACAGCTGACTGCAGCCCCCATTCCCTGTCCCCCTGTGCTGCTGGGGGAGAGGAGGGAGGACATGGAAGGAGGGGTGGGGGGAAGATGTTTTTAAGACTCTTTTATTTCTCACTCTTTGGCTCTTATCCTGTTAGTAATAAATTTAAGTACTATCCCCACTTTGAGTCCAACAACAGAACAACACAACAAAATAAAAGTTGAGCTACCACAGAGAGAGGTGCTTTACATTAAATGTAGTGAATACAAAGGTTCATTTTTAAAATGCTGCTTTAAAATTAATTCTCAGTAAATTCCTTTGAAAAAGAGCATTAGTCTGATGAGAAGTAACAAGGTTTAAAACTAGCAGTATTTCAACTCCAAATTTTTACCCAAACTTGTGTTTTTTTCAAGCATACTGGCTTAGAAGGTTTATGTCTACTGATGGCATAAATTGACAGTGACAGATGACCGGACAAATCGTGAAGGGAAAGTAAAGTTGAACAACTGAGCCACCAAGCATGACAAAGTTACAACTAGTGCTCTGGCTGCCACGAGGGATGTCTAATGGAGCACCTGGGGGCATTTTCATATTTATGGGTAGTTTGTGTGTCATTTACTCTGTAAATGAGAAGATTTTCAGATTTAAGCTTTTAAAACCTCTTCAAACTTACGTATTCAGTTTCTCGGGCACTCACTCAGGGGAAGGCAGCCGATGCCTTGGGGAGGGAAAGGCCTCTGGAATCGGGATCCCTGGCAGGTGCGAGGCGGCTGGACGGACGGCAGCGGACGGGAGGAGGCTGAGCACTCCCTCGGGTTCCCGGTATCGTCAGAACGAATCACCCGATTGTGTTTTGTGTATCGTAGACCCTTGCATTTCACAAGCAGATGCAATCAGTTGAAGGGAAGAGCATATACAGAAGAAAGGACCGAACTTTAGATGCTAAGTTTTTGTGGGTGTTTATTTTTTTTAATCAGACGTCCCTGAAGGTAAACGGGTTTGTCACGACGGTCACTAATCCCTACTGTGTGAGGATACACCTCTCGGCTCCTCTCCGTCCCTTTCCCGCTCCCGCTCCCCTCGCTGACCGCCCGCCACCCCCCCCCCAACCTGTCAGAGCCCCTGCAGGCCCAGGCTGTTTTGCTTTATCCCCCCACCGAGGGCGGAATTTCAGACGCCTCCCCCGGGTACTGGCCCCGGCAGGGAAGGGGATTCAACCGCTCGCCCCTTCACGCCGCAGGCCAACCACGACCCTTCAAGACTCCCCGCTTCTCAACCTCGCGCTCCGCCCGCCGTTGCCGCAGTGGGCCGGGCCGCGCCAGCCCCGCCCCCGCCCGGGCGGAAGGTTGGGGGTGCTCCGCGCCGGTCAAGCGGGGCTGGCCATGTCGGTGCGCTGGAGTGGCTATCGCGCACAAGCCCTGGGCGGCGGCATTTATATCAGGAGCGCTTTACGAGTCCGGCAACCGGTAGCAAACATCTGCGGCTGGTGCGCCAGGCTCGCAGCGGGACGTGTGATCGACGCCGGGCTGGGGCTGCGCAGCCTTGCCCGACTACCTGCGCGACTCCGGGCTGCTTGGCGCGGCCGAGGGCGCTGGGCCGCCGGCCGCGACTGCTGGCCGTTGGCCAGCACGTCCCACTTCGACCACTCGGAAGTGCTGGCTCCGCACTGTCGAGAGATGGCGGTGCACAGCGCCGAAGCGCCGCGCTGTGCGCGGCGACAACTACGAGGCCGTGGACGTGGCATGTCGGACGGGAGTGGCGCGGCCGCCCGGCCCGGCTGGAGCGCGCGCCAGTTCCCGCGTCCCGCCGTGCGGCCAGCCCCTCTCCTGCAGGAAGGTGAGGAACCGGGAGCTCTGGTTATCCACCCTGGAGCTGCGTCTCTGCCGCCCTGCGCGTCCTGCTTTACTCGGCTCCTCGTATAAAATAGTTAAACCGCTGTGTTTTTTCACTCCCATCAACCTACAAGCCGCGGTCAGCAGGGACGAACGAGACGCGTAGTGGGTTAAACCTCGTTTCTAGCAGTTCTGAAAGTATTTGGCATCAGAGTGTTTTTGTTTGGTTGGTTTGGGGGTTTTTTCCCTTTTTTTTTTGGTTTGTTTGTTTTTTGGAGGGTGCTGGGTTGTTTGTTTTGGGGGGCTTTTTAGTTGTTTCTTTTTATTTGTTTGGGTGTTTTTTGTGGGTTTTGGTTTGGTTTTTTCTCCATTAGAATAAGAATCGCTCAACAGTGATTTAAGTGACTTGAGTACCACAGGTTTATCCTCAGGCTTCGAACAGTGTGTCACCGAGTCAATCGGATCTGGCGACCCTTATTTATAAGCTGCCAAGACACAGCAATGCAATTAACAGTTTCTTGAAATATGTACTGTGGATACAGTTTTTGTTCTACAGAATTTACAGGCATTTACGGAATTTTACGTGAATTATGTTAAACGTCTGTAAAAAGTGGCTTGTTACTGATGTAAGATTTACAGAAGTGGCTTGTTGCAGATCAAAGAAGCCATTTAGTCTTTCACAGGTGACAGGACTAGTTTTTTCCGCAACAAACCACCTAAACTGTACAATACAGTGCAGCAGAAGTTAAAGGATAGGTGTCTGACAGACAAGTGACACCTTTGGCTGGGAACTTACTCTCTTGGCTTTATTAGACCATCCGACATAGATGCTTGGAAAAGCAGAACTGAACTTACTGAAGGATTCAGTGAAGAGCTGATGTGACACTTAGCTGTAGTAAATCAACAGAAATTTAAGGCTTTTTTTCTTTAAAAGGAAGGGATTATTGAAATAATCTTGTGAAAGAGTAAGCATGTAAGTATCAACATAATATCAAAGTTTCTAAAATAATGTTCACTGAGACACGAGACTTTCTGCTGAAAGTATCAGTTCAGTGGTTGGTTTAATGAAAGTGAATTCACATTTAAACTGGCAAAAAATTACCTAATGTTAAGAAATGTCTATTTTTATATCTTATTGAATGAGATGAAGAAAGTGTGTGGAGGCCAGTCTTGGTTCTCCTCCAGCAGTTTATGTTCTTTCCTTTTGCCTTTCCTTTTGCCTAGAATGCAATTCTAGGTGATTTAAGTGAGGATAAAATGATAATAAATTGTAAAATACTTACTTTTTAAACTTTTCAAAGGAAACTCAGATGTGTTCTGTTTGTTTCCTGTTTTATTTTCTCTATTCCATTGCTTTTCACATTATTTAATTTATTAGAGTGGGAATAGATTCCATTAATACAGACCAAGCCTGTGTTAACTACTAGTATCATTGGAAAATACCTTTTTGTCAAGCATATCTTTCAGACACCTCTTTGGCACTCACCAGGAAAATAAATGCCCTGGTTCTGTTGTTGCAGATATTTATTATTTATAGATAGTGTTTATAATAGTATTTATGAATCTTTGCCTGTGGGTAGGTAGTTTTCCTCATGGTGTTTAATGAACATGATAAATTCATGTGTTTTCCTGTAACAAATCTGTTTGCAGGGGATGTGATCAGCCTTGGAGATCGACAGCTCACTGTCATGCACATGCCTGGTCATTCCAGGGGCAGTATTTGCTTACATGACAAGGACAGGAAGATTCTGTTCAGTGGGGACGTGGTGTATGATGGATCCATGATTGACTGGCTGCCCTACAGTAGAATCAGTGACTATGTTGCAAGCTGCCAGCGCCTTATGGAGTTAGTGGACAGAGGACTTGTGGAGAAGGTACTACCTGGGCACTTTAACATATTTGGGGCAGAAAGGCTGTACTGGTTAGCTTCCAACTACATCTCCCAGGCGGGAGTTTGTCACAAGATTTCTACCTGTGCCATGAGATCCATTGCGAGCATAGCACTTCGCATTACAAATTCGAGAATCACTTCTCAGTGACAGTCAGTTTTGTGTGATTTGTTACCTTCTGTAAAATGAAATGGCTTGTGAAAGCGTTGATACAAGCAAAAGCAGTATGCATTAGCAAAAAGATGGTAAATTGATACAGGTGAGCTGCAAAAATTCTCCTTATTTTTACCTACTTTATTTGTATTTTTATAAAAACTATGTAAGCTAGTAGCGTTAGCCAAAGCTACTTTTTGTTCTATTTTTTCAGGGCACTTTTGCACATGTATTGTGATTGAAATATGTTACTTTATTTTTGTTACAATTCTGACAGATGAATTTATGCCAAAATGGGAGGTTTGACATTCACACCTGAAACTTTGTTGATGTAGTACTAGGTTTGTGATTATTCATCAACTCCTGCTCAGGTTTTGCTAACAGAGCTCTTGCTAAGACCTAGCATATGCTGGAAGCAGCACCATTAGGACAAAGCAAGAGCAACACCTATGCAGGACTCAGTAGGCAGAAAGAGTACATGGGCCATCCCACAGCCATTGCCACTTGTGGGGTGGTGTTTGCTGCACCCCTCATCACTTGCATCTTTATCTTTGCAAAGTACCTGTCTTGCAGTTTCTTTAGAATACACTAACATACAGAAATTCTATAGACCAAACTTCCAAGCTGGAAGTCAGAGATACATCAGCTTATCTAAAAAGTTTTTGGTGCAGGTCCAACAGCAGATGGACTTGTTGAGGCCTTCATGTTTCCTGGTGTGGCGCAAGGAACCAGCTGCACCAGGAGAGAGGAGCAAGCAGGAGCACTCTCACCATTAGCTAGGGAACTGTTTTGCTTGTATGTGTGTGAGTTAGGAATTAGAGAATTTGTGAACTCATGAATTAATGTGTTAGACTAGCCTCTACAAAGCAGATTGAGCCTTTTCTTGATGTGCTTATTTTTTTTTCTGATGAGCTCATAAAAATACTTATAGAATATGTTGGTTTGGAAGTTTGAGAGAACTGGACTGTGACAGGCTTAAAGGTTTTATTTGTGCTTAAGAGTATTTTTATGTGTCTGTATTGTAACTTGGTTGTTGATGATCTGTGTTAGGGGAAGGATGGAGGCTTTCACATGGCCTTGCTATATTTCAGGGTACTGCATGAAGCAGCTGGTTGACTTTGTTACCACGAAGTGAATGTAACTTGAACTGTTTACTGTTTGTGTCTGAAGTGTCTGTATCTGCACATGGTTTTTATGAAACGTAAAGTGTGTTGCATTTGAGTCTGTTCCAAAACAATGTTGAATACACTGAGAACTGCTAAACTAGATTGTAACTTGTTTATGAAAATTGAATGTGTGATATTTATAAGCTGTTGAAATGGTTAGTTTGTGCAATTATTCAAACAGTCTGTATATATTTAACTTTTCTAAAAGGACGCTGTCTGATGTTATTTTTGTACATAGACATATATATGTTCCTAGAAAGAGTGCAAATGTTTCTCCCAAAGTTTTGTGCAGTTTAGCCTTTTTTGTTTGGCTTTCACTTTAGCAGAAGCTTTTTCCCCCCATCATAGCCAATAGAAAGGGAGCCCAGAGTTTGGGCTCTGTCTAAGGCATGGCGGAGAGGAAGCTGATAGCCCTCTGAATAGGTGCAAATTCTGGTGAAAAAAGAAAAACAATTGCAAAATAAAAAACAGATCTGTCTAAAAGTGATGAAAGAGAATATGTTATGTAGTGCTTTTTCCCTTTCACAGATCACTACACTCCTGCCTTTACTGTCTGAATATATTCTTCACCAGGATTTGTACTGATTGGCTGTGATGTGCCTAGTTCTTGTTAGCAGTGCCTATCTCCAAGCTGAAGCAAAATTATGAGTGGGCGAGACGTGCAGAGATGCAGCACATGAAAGACCAGTTATCACTCAGATCACAGTCTCTTTTTTTTTTTTTTTTGAGAAATCCATGTACATCAGTGTATGACATGAGGAGTATTTAGTGGGTAGATTTATGTCTTAAGACCAAGAGCATTTTATCTTGGCCTCAGCTGACCAGAGTAAAAAATATAAAAGGTTAGCCTAGAACAGGCTGAGGAAATACGTAGCACTAAAGCTTATGCTAGTTATCCAGAGGAAGCCATGATGTCACATGTTACCCAACAGTAACTGAATTCCTGCAAATTATCTATCTGCGGTGTAACAATAGTA